GTTTTATGATCTTAAAGATATCAAATACTCTATTTGCCCTAAAAATCTTTTTTATGAATCTCCTTGAAGATGAAACATGTTGTATAAGAGCATCAGAACACTTACAAATGACAAAAACTCAGAAATGGACATTGTTAATGAAATGATTTTGACGAGGAGTAGAAGCCTGGCTGAAGACAAACCAACCCCCCTGCAACTCCCCCTCCCCTGCCCCATGGAACATGTGTGACATTCTTCCAGGGACCTCCCAACTGTCTTAATGTTAATACCTTGCTAGAGGGGAACCACCTTAGACTTGACAATACCAGGGCCTCAGAAATCTTGTAAGTCGGTCCTTTTTAGCATATGAAAGTCTTTTGAAACCTCCCTTTTCCTTACTTCCCCCAAATCCCCAAGTATATGATCACCACTCCTCAAGACCCCTCTGTAGCAGCTTCTACTGCCCATGGGTACTGTCTCTGTGCTTTAATGAAACCACCATTTTGCACCAAAGATGTCTCAAGAATTCTTTCTTGGTGGTTGGCTCCAGACCGCACCCCACAGAACTTCACCTAGATTCCAAAACCCCATCAATATGAGTTCATTAGGATGCAATTGACAAGCAAATACACTTATTTCTGCGATAGAGAACACTTCAGTAATCAGAATATCAAGTGATGACCTTATATTAGAATGTAACACACCAAATAAACAAGCCTAATTAGTCAGAGAGATTTTGTTTATGATTTAAATCTTGGGGAAGTTCATTAAAGCCTTAGAAAGTCTTAGGCACATGCCTAAATAGGATTATAGATCACCAAAGACCTGATAAAGACAAAACAGAGCCACTGGTTTTTCTGTGCAAAGAGAAAACAACTTTGTTCACATTTTCTCATCAAGAGCAGATCAACAATCCAGGGAAACGTGTCTTTTTAACAGAGAGAAAGCAGAATTCCAATCTTATACCTGTATATTTTTTAAAACATTTATGTATTTATTTCATAGAGAGAGCTTGAAAGCATGGGAGGGAGGGGGAAAGAACCCCAAGCGGATTCCACTCTGAGTGTGGAGCCTGACAGGGAGCCCAACACCATGACCACCTGAGCCAAAACCAAGAGTCCAACGCTTAACTGACTTAGCCACCTCAGCACTCCACCAGTGCATTTTAAAAATCCATTTATGTCAACCTCAGTTCATCCTGACCACACTTAAATTTCCTTTCCAAGGATTTCCCTTCACAAACCTTCTACAACTTTCCTTTGCATTCAGATTTTTTCCCAATTGATTCCTCTCAAATTAGTCTCAGTTAGGGGGCCTGGGTGGCTCAGTCAGTTAAGCATCTGCCTTCCGCTCAGGTCATGATCCCGCAGTCCTGGAATCGAGTCCCGCATTGGGCTCCCTGCTCAGCAGGGAGGGTGCTTCTCTCTCTCTCTGCCTGCTGCTCCCTGTGCTTGTGCTCTCTCTCTCTCTCTTTTGTTAACTCTCTCTTTCTTGCTATCTTCCTCTCCCTGTCAAATAAATAAATAAAACCTTTAAAAAAAAGTCTCAGGACAAAATTACCTTATTTTACCTTCCACAAAAATATATTCCCATTTCTTAGATCATTCTTATACATACAGAATTGCTTCCCTTATTTCCATCAGTCTTAATTACATTTAGCCGAATTTTAACCCTTAGAAACCTTAGTCTCCAGTGAAAACTAAGTAGTAACAAATTGTGAACGGTTACACCAGAATTCTTTAGATGGCAAATTTACAGATACATTTAAGCACAAAGCAGGTTTTCCAACAGACCCAAATATCCTTAGTTTCTCTGCAATAAGAAGTCAAAAGCAGATAAACCTTATGTTTAGTAATCAATACTTTAGCACTTTATTCCATTTGGAAAATACCTAGATGTCCAGTGAATCCAATCCCAATTTAACAACCAAACAAAGCTTTAAAGCTTCAGGTTACCAAAGATTTTGAATGCTATCATAACAATTACCCATGAAAACTTTGAGACGGACAAAACTAGCTATCGTCTTAAGTCATCTTTTTTGTTAACATATGGCAACAGAGAAAACATGAGTTTGACTTTTAGTAAACCTCGGTAGAATCAAAGTTTTATACTTGGTGCCAAGAATGCTAAAGACCTAGCTATCTTAAGACAACAAATTTAAATTAGTTTAAATATCAAAGTATGTTCCACCTGGGTCCTCTTAAAAGCTAACCAATTTGTTCCCATTGTCATTTTTACCTGGGGTACCGTGGGGTAATCTGAAGTAGGTGGTGTTAAGTCCAGGGGTGCTCTTCACTCCATGACAGTGAGGGGAGGAGGAGGAGCCAACGGCACCAGCGGCACTGAGAATGGTATAGGAACCAGTTATACAGGCCCTACCCAAGGTGCTGCAGAAATAGGAGGAGGGAGAGGGAAAGGTAGGAGGCCAGGAGCTGCCAGAAGGCAGAGAAAGAGGGTTCCTTGTTCTAAACCTCATTAGTTCATAGATGAGCAGAAATCATGTTATGGGTATTGTTTGTTTGTTTTCCCCACCAAAGCAGAAATACATAGTCGATGTTGGGGTGAAGAAGACAGGGCACTTCCCTGAAACAAAGGGAGTTTTGGCAGCTGCTTGGGAATATTCCTTAAAGTTCCCATCCTGAGGTACACTAACCACAGTTGGCTCCAATTGTAGCCATTAACCCGGGGAATGAATGAGGGAGAAGCTCCTACATCTATTAGGAGGAGGAATGGTGAGAGAGGGTCAGTGTCCCTTTCATCAGGGGTGGCTGGTTTCCTCCAGCAACATGGGTTCTGGCAGGAGGAGACCTATTTAGATAATTATCACCCAGGATCTCAAGAGGGAGTTTACTGGCCTGTTTACTGACTAAACATGTTCTGGAAGAGGCTGTTAAATCTAGGTCCTGATTTAGAGCCATGAAGTCTTGTACCTAGGATATCTCTGTCCATTGCCCTGTTTCCTGCAGAAGAGATCTAACTGATAGATCCTACTGAGGCCATGCAGTGTTACAGGAGATCAGTCCTTTCTTAAATTTTGCAATCGGAATTGTGGGTTAAAAGGCATTAAACCCACTGAATTTACAGTGGGTTAAAAGGCATTAAAAGGCATTAAAAGGGAGAGTCCTTGGGAACTGAAGAAGAGAGAAGGTCCATTACCAAGAAAATCCACCCCACCGCCCCACTCTCTGGTGGCAACCCATGCAGGATATGTCAGAGGTTCCAGGTGTCAATGTGACCCACGGTTTCCCTCAAATGAAATCACTATGATCACTGCCTTGCCATTAAAGGCCCCGTAGAAGGGATGCTAGCAGCCCCCAGCTTCCCCATTGCATTCTAGACTGCAAATGGGTGCCAGGTATCGATGAAGATACTGTGCCTTGCCTTGCCATGAAGAACTCATCGTTTTTAACCCATGGAAAACATTAGAAAAGTTTTACAAGGGAAAATTACCCAAATAACCTAAGTAGTTAATAGAGGACATTGATGGAAAATAGTAAAAATGGAAATTCATGATGGTCTAAGGGACATTCTAACATGTAGACTTTTACAACCAACTTCCCTAGGAAATGGTCCCTGTTTGGGTTTTAACTCAATCAGGTACTGGTTTTGGCCAGCTCTGAGTGGAGGTCTCCCAGCCAGAAGTGACTAGACCAGAGATGTGGAGGGGATCACATTGGACCAAAGAAGAGGAAATTCACATGGGAGTCCTAAAGATCGGCAGCCATCCTGGTGACTTAGGTGGCCATCTTGTGCCCAAGACAGACAGCTTTGTATAAGGACATGAGTAAAGAGAGGGCAAGTTTCTGGGTTTCATTACAATTCTGACCACGGTACTAAGTTCCAGCCAAAAGGCAGGCTTTTTCCTCCCCTTAGAGTAGCCACTGGAAGACTAGAGGATTGCAGCATGAACAATTGATATGAAAGTGTTCCAATAAGACCATACTCCTTAAAAAGGCCTTGAAATTAAAGTAAAGAAAGAGAAGAGAAAGTACTCACCAAGTTTGCACCGAAGCTCAGAGTCCAAATGAGAAGACTCAAGCCACATGTTTGGACACCAAAATGATTTTGAAATGTTGGGGTTCAGAACAAATGGTCAAAAAAGAATTCTTGAGAATGTCTTTAGGGCAAAAAGCCCTATTAAAGCACAGGGCAGAACCCATGGGCAGAAAGAGTTGCATTGGAGTCATGAGGAAGTGGCTAATTCTATACTTTTAAGTTGGGAGTGGGTTAGGGAAAGCACAAACCTCCAAGGTAGTTTGGAAACAAGGTTTCCAGGATCCTGAGTGAGCTAGCTATTGTTTGGAAAAGGTCACTTCTTACTGTTTAGTTAAAAACTCAGTCATGAGAACTTTCAGAGGTATATTGGTGGGCCATATGCTTAGAGGATGCTTATTAACAAGTATCTTGAGGGGTAGAGATAAAGGAAGTTTCTAAAGGAATTTATATATGTTTAAAGTAGACTCATAGGATCCTGGGACATCAGGCTAAGAATTCCTTTTGCCCTTAGCAAAGTGTCAACATTGAGGCATCTGAGCTCCCAGAGGAAGGTCACTCTGCCTGTTTCAAGGACTCATCAATGGGTTGTAAGTAAGTAGAAAAGAAATTTAATTTTTCTTATGCCTTCGTTTCCTACATCATTTTAGAACCACACAAATACCTAGGAGGGATGTGCCACAAGGCTGGGGACTGTGTGCTGTTTTACTGTCTATGCATTGCAGGGAAATTAGTGGGCAACCCAGTGTCAACTTAACACATTCCATGACCAAAGACACAAAGGACACAGACTAAGAAAAACAAAAACCATCTCTGGAAAGAAATGGATCAAAGAAATGGATCAAAGAAATGGATCATAACCAACGAGTTGTCTTAGCATAGTTAACCAGAGTTGCTAGACTCAAGGAACTAGTTCCACGAATATTTTCTCCTGCTAATCTAAATTTAGATAGAGGGAAAAAGGACTCTCATGCCACTGAACTCTGCAGATAGAGATTCTGGGAGACTGACATGGTAAGAAATCTTACCTTCCGTCAGCTGTGTGTCAGATGTCCCAGGATCTTTGAGCAGCAGCTGTGTCTGAGGCAAGCAGTATCCAATGAGTTAAAGTATCCCGCTGACTACGTCAACTGTTGGGGAGTGAGAATTTCCTCTCCCCTTCAAGGTCCTTCTGCTGGACTAAGAATCAAAGTGGCTTGAGACAGATTAACAGGAGAAAATCAAATTTACTTTCAGACATACAGTGAATCCACACAGACACAAAATTCCAAAGACAGTGCGGCAACATGAGACTTAATAAGAGCTAAGGAGAAGGATAGAGTTCTGAAGAAACAAAGGGGAGAAAGACCATTAGCAGGAAGGTGAAAGGAGATATTTGGAAAACAAGGATTGCCCTGTTATGCAGATAAGGTAAAGAGGAGTCTCCTTTATAGCTCTCTTCCTGGTACAAGAAGGCAGTTGGGGGGAGATAAAGAGCTTTTCCTGAATGTGCTGGGTTTGGATTGCTTTTAACTCAAAATAATATTCATGCCAAGGTAGCCTATCTTAGATTGACCTCCCCAGGTGTAATGAAGGAAACAGGCTGTTCTATGTGGGGGAGGGGCAAGTAGGCAGGGCCTTAGAGGCAAGGTTAACCTTGATCCATATTGAAACAAGAGCAGGAATGAAATGAAGAAGGGTAAGAGTGAGCACTGAGTTGGGTTCCAGGAGTGTGTATGGGAGAGGGGAGGGCTGGTTTGTAGAACATTCCATGCAGAGGAAGCTGTGTGAGAAAATAGAAGGAGGTGTGAAAGAGAATGGCATGTTTGGGAAACTGCAAACAATTCCATATGGCAGGATCACTGAATTTAAGGGGTGGGGTTACATCGTTAGTAATCTGCTTAGAGAAGTAATCAGGAATCGCATCTTTAAGGGCCTTGTATATCCAAGGCTGCAATCTGCAGTTGTGGCCATTCACTTCCAGACTTGGAACCTCTGCCCTCTGGGGTCTCCATCCCTATTCCACAACTCTGCCTGTTTTGACCTTTTGTCTTCCTTCTTGCCTTGTATCAGAAATTCTGGGTCTCTGGTACTCCTCAGGCTCATCAATCCAGCCTCACTCTCTCCATCAACATTTCATTCCTTCTGTATGCTATGCCCGAGCCTCTGGAGGCTTCCGGCCTCCTGGAGCTATGCTCAACAGTGTTACTGGGCTCTCTTTCCTGTCCCAAAGCATCTTCTTCCCTTGGATTCTGTCCATTTATATTCTCTGGGCTTTTTTCCTAATTCTCGGATTGCTTCTTCTCAGTGTTCTTTATAGGTTTCCCTTCCCTTTTGGATTCCTTGGATGCTGGAGTTGGCCCTGATTCTGTTCTCACTCCTTTCTTCTTTCTCTTCCCTATGGGATTTCCCTCACTCCAATGGCTCCAATTACTATTTTTGTGTTGATGAAACTTAAAAATCTCTATCTCCTGTGCAACATTGTCTCCTAAGTGTCAGATGGTGTAACCATTTGCTTACTCAACCTCACCTTTTTAATGCCTTTTTTTTTATGGTAGACATCTGTTGCATTATTTTATTATTTTTTTTACAAAATATTGTAAATATTTACAAAATATTTACAAAAATTTTTTTACAAAAATTTTTATCCATTCAATTTTTAAAATTTAGTTTATTTTTTAAAAATTTCAGTGTTCCAGAATTCATTGTTTATGCACCACACCCAGTGCTCCATGCAATACGTGCCCTCCTTAATACCCACCATCAGGCTCACCCAACCCCCCAACCTACCCCCTCCAAAACCCTCAGTTTGTTTCTCAGAGTCCACAGTCTCTCATGGTTCGTCTCCCCCTCCAATTTCCCCCAAGTCACTTCTCTCCATCTCCCCATGTCCTCCATATTATTCCTTATGCTCCACAAATGAGTGAAACCATATGATAATTGACTCTCTCTGCTTGACTTATTTCACTTAGCATAATCTGTTTCAGTCTCATCCATGTTGATACAAAAGTTGGGTACTCATCCTTTCTGATGGAGACATAATACTCCATATATACTGGACCAAAGTCCAGTATATATGGACCACATCTTCTTTATCCATTTGTCCATTGAAGGGCATCTTGGTTCTTTCCACAGTTTGGTGACTGTGGCCATTGCTGCTATGAACATTGGGATACAGATGGCCCTTCTTTTCACTACATCTGTATCCTTGCAGTAAATACCCAATAGTGCAATTGCAGGGTCATAGGGAAGCTCCTTCTAAACTTAACCTTAAACTCAACATGCTGAAACTAACCTGATTTTTTAAAAACAGCTTTTTTGAAGTATAATTTATATACTAGAAAATTATTTTGTTGTAAGTGTCCGATTCAATAGCTTTTAATAAATTACAAAGTTGGGAAACCATTCCACAAGAGAATTTCAGGACATTTCCCTCATCCTCAAAAGATCTCTTACCCATTTATAAATATTCCCCGTTCCCATCCCCAGCCCCAGGCAGCCAATAATCTACTTTCTGTCTTGCATATTAGTGGAATCACTAATATATGATCTTTTGTGCCTGACTTCTTTGACTGTAACCTAATGCTTTTGAGCTTCACCCATATCGTAGCATGTATTGGTACTTTGTTCCTTTTCATTGCCAAATCATATTTCATTGTATGGATATACCATATTTTGTTTACCCATTCACCAATACACACACATTTGGAATTTCCACTTTTTGGCTATTATGAACAGTGTTGCTATTTGCTATGAACAGTGTTGCTATCCACACAATGTGTGGACAGCCTTTGTCTACATGTTTTTAATCTCTTGGGTTATATATAGGAGTGCATTGCTAGGTCATATGGAACATTTATGTTTAACTTTTTAGAGAAACAGCCAAAGCTTCTGTTAAGAAACAGCCAAACTGTTCTCCAGTGACCTTGCTATTTCTACTCATCATCTCCTAGGGATTTCTATTTCAATTAATGGCTACACCATTCATCCAATGAATACTCCAGAACCTTGGAACGCCTTTTTTATTCCTCCTTCTCCTTATCCCCAAATTCCATTACTTATCAAGTCTAGTCAATTCTACTTCCCAATTCTATCTCTAGACCCATCTCCTAATCTTCTAAATAAATTTATTCTAAAATAAACTCCCCAATTCTATCTCTAGACCCATCTCCTAATCTTTGCCTTCGCTATGACTGTCCTAACTCACGCCACTGTTATTTTCTGCTTTAGGAATCTCCTCATTCTTCTGCCTATCTCACCTTCTATAATCCAGTCATTAAAAAAAAAAAAAAAAAAAAAGCTGTGAAACATTTGATGTGTGCAAAAAAATCTGAACCATAAATAATTTATAAAGCATAACAATAGAGTGAAAGCCCTATGGGTCTACTACCATCCAGCATAACCATTGCTAACACTTGACCGTTGCCAACACTGCAGATGTGCCCCGTGAGCTCTACTCCACCCAATTCTTCTTCAGTGGCTCCTTATTGTTCTTAGGATAAAGTCCAGACTTGCTATTTTAGCTTTGTAAGTTCTTCATAAGTTTTGAAATCCTTTCCCAGGGACTAATTATCTACCCACGCCATTCTTTTCTTTCAGATTCTACCATTCAAAATCATCCTCCCTGCCCTCCCTTGGACCACTGGGCATTTTTCATATCACAGCTCCCATCACTTGGCATTCACAGTTGCTCATTTGTCTGTTTTTCCCAACACCTAGCTCTGGGACACAGAGGCCTGGTCTGTCTTGCCATTGTATCTCCAAGGTTTTGCACAGTGCTTGGCACACAGTAGGTACCCAGAGAGCATTTTTTGAGTATTTAAAGGAAAGTGATTTCCATATATCCAGATAAAGATGGCTGGTAGATATTTGGAGCTCAAGAGAAAGATCTAGGCTAGAGATACCGATTTGGGAGAATTAAATCTTGTCAGTAAAATGAAAACTGTAGGAATAAATGAGACTGCTGGGGACAGGGTGAAGGGTACAAAGTGGGTATAGTACACTAACATTTATGGGTCAGGCAGAAGAGGAGAGCCAGCGAAGGAGGGCAAGAAGGAGCAGGAAGCAGGATGAGAGGACAGGGAATCTGGGGGGGAAGAGACTCTCAGTGAGATGGGAGAAGCACAGCCTTGAAGTTTTGGAAGGTGGAGGAGGATGATAAAGTGCCAAGGATAGGTTGGGTCTTGCATACAGGAGTCCCTAGAGACTGTGTCAGAAGGTTCTGAGGAGCTAAAGCCAGAATGCTATGGGGGTGGAGAATAAAGGCACATGAAGAGCAATGAGTTAAGCTTCCATTCAAATGTTTTTGAGCATCTTTTCTGTGCCAGACCCCATGCTAGGCTGAGCATTATGTTCAGCTCCTGGGAAAGATCCAAGAGTCCACAGACAGGTATGATGTACAAGCTCTGGAAAAGGGAACTCCAGAGGGTACAGAGAGCATGGATATTGAACCCTTTGTCTTCCACTTCCAAATTCAGGGAGCTCCTCAGCCTAAGGTGTTCCTTTCCTTTGAGTTTTGGGAGGCAGATGGATGTGCAGCTCCCGTTCATCCATATCTCTTGGCGGAGCGGGAGGAAGGAGGGGAGGAAAAACTCCTTAAGGTTTCCTTTTCCTCAGGCTTGACTACAGTATGTACCTCTCACTGTCATTTCTGCCTCGTCCTGCTCCCTCCTGATCTTTATATATTCACACACGTAAGGGAAGAAAGTCTTTCCCCCGTTGGTTGACTTTTCCTTTGCCGATCTGACCCGGAGGGTTCAGGAAGTTCTGGAAGGGCTTGGAAACCATCCCAGGGGAAAAATGACCTCATAGGAATGGAATGAGTTTTTAGGTTTGGGAAGCTAAGAGATTTAACAGGCTTCTGCCAGCAGAGGGAGCCCCAGGGTTGGGAGAGAAAGATCCGACCGCAGGGTATAAAATGCGATGGGGGCTCGTTTCGGGCGATGTTTTTAGCAGTCCAGAGGTATTTATGGGTTAAGTTCAGATAACAGGGAATGAAAGAGGGAGGGAGGGAGGAAGAGAGCCTCATAATACATTGACATGTACACAGAAGCGCGCGCGCGCGCGCGCACACACACACACACACACACACACACACACACTCACATCACATTTCCCGCCCCCTGACCCCTCCCTAGACGCACTCACAATTTCGGCTTCCAGTCCAGTGGTTGCTGCACCTTTGCTGTGCAACTGAATCA